AATTAACGTTAATTGATACTGCAGCTTATAATCCGGTGCGGCTTTTGGTCGTGAAAATACGGTATGTTCTTTAGCATTTCCATTTCCATGTCTCCATATATTTATGAGCTCAAATTTCTCTGTCATTTCAAAACATATTTTTGATGGTTTATTTTGCAGTTTATCTTGCATTAATTTGATGCAGAAAACAGTTTTTTAAACTAATTCTGGAGAAATCATTCCAATTTCCCAAGAGAAACCAAGTTTCATGTTAAATCTATTTATTTTTCCATGTCCTTTAAAGAATATACATTTGTTTTCATTAGATACTATATTCCGATTATTATGATTTTATTCTCATTTGATTTCTACACCTACATATCAAGATAATCATTTTCAACTGTATAGTAGTTGTAATTTATATATGGGTTTATATATAAAACAACTTACTTTTTCTTCATTGATCCTGAGGATATAAATTCTTGCCCCAAATTTTTGTAAAGCAAATGTTTTACAATTTTTTTTCTTATACAGGTTTACTGTAAGCAAATTACATCTTGTTTCATTTTCTCTTTTGCTGCGCATTGGCTTCATTTGTTTTCCATGTTAGACATTTTAAGTTTCATAGCTACATTTTTAGCTTGGAAAAGTTGATGCCTGTGGAACCCAATATAGTAGACTCTCAGAAAACTTCAGAGGCCAGGGGATGAATATGAATATTGCCAGCCAGATCAAAGTTAGCAATATTTGTGATTCACCAAGGAAGCTTGGTTTAAGTTAATCTTTATTAATTCCACATATTTTTATATTTATGTTTTGTTTTTGTTATAAATGTTTGTTGGCTTGTTGGATAATTTGATTGTGTGATTTCCCTTTCAGGAATGTATAAAACCAATCAAAGTTGACAAGCCTGGAAAAGCAGCAGCTAGGATTCGTATTGAAGATGATGGAACTTATTTTCAAGTTGGCCAGGTAAAGTTTTTCTTTCCCCTGTCTGAGTGTGTTTTAGGAACAAGCTTTTTTCCCAACATTTTTTCTAACTCTTCCATTTTTTTCCAACTCTGCAATAGAGTTTTTGTTGGGCTGGAAGGCACTCTAGATTTGAGGACCAGCAATTGATGTGGGTCATTTTTGTCATAATCAGAAACTTAGTTTTTGCTGTGAAACTCAGAAATTTTGACAACAGATTACTGTTTTCAAGGATATAGTCTAGGACAAATCTGTGGAGCAGACAAAAATAAATCTCTATTGCTTTTGATAGTGGGAACCCTGTAACGCAAGTGGGAAGTGAACAGGTAGTCCTTGACTTAGGACCACAGTTGAGCCCAAAGTGAGACTTGATTAAGTGAGTTTTGCCCCATTTCACAACTTTTCTTGCCACAGCTGTTAAGTGAATCATTGCCTTTTTAAAGTTAGTAATATGGATGTTAAGTGAATCTGACTTCTCCATTGACTTTGTTTATCAGAAGTTCACAAAAAGGGATCACATGATCTTGGGAAACTGCAATTGTCATAAATATAAATCAGTTGACAAGCATCTGAATTTGTGACCCCAGGGATGCTGCAATGCTTGTGTGAAAAACAACCATAAGTCACTTGTTTCCGAAGAGAAGGCGTGGGAGGAGTAACAGTTGGGTATTAACCCAGCCCTCTTACCTATAGGAGACTGAGGTAATCTTTTGAAGCCACACCTACGGACCTCCTCTGATTTCCCCAGATTAACCTCAGTCTACGGCCTGAAAGGAGTGTTTCTCTGACTCTCCCTTCTCTTCGAAGACTTGGGAGTTTTTTCTGCAGGATCCTTAGCAGCGATTACATCAGCATCAATGAATTAATGCTGAAGATTTCTCACCTCTCCTCTACTGTGCTCAGCGCCGCTGGGGAAAGCCTCGTCGCTGCCCAGTGTGTGCGCCTGCACCCCGTGTGACCGGCTGGTCGCGTAAGAAGGGGAGGAAGCCTCCGCCCGGCAGGGATGATCAGAGTGGCTTCGAGGCTTCTGGTAAGCAGCAGAGGGACCTGCGCGGCCTGAAGATCGGCCCTACGATCCCCAGCAACAGGAGATCGGTCCGCAGGTCGGCGGTCGCCATCTTAGGTCCAGTCGCCATTTTGGAGCACGTGAGCTGAGCGCGTGATCAGCATTCCCTACCGATGCCGAAAGCGCTCAAAAAGGCACCTGAAGTCCATCCTGGAGGGCATCCGACTGGGCGATTTCCTAGCCTCTATCGACCTCACAGAGGCATACCTACACATCAGGATCGCCCCGGAACACCGTAAACTCCTCAGGTTTTCTCACGAAGGAAAACACTAC